GTTATTAAATTATTATAATCGTTCTAAAACAATGATACTACATTCAGTTAATTTTTAAGATTCCCTTTAATTTCAAGTGAACGAATATATTAATAAATACAATCATCTTTATTTCAATTGAACGAATATATTAATAAATACAATTATCTTTATTTCAATTGAACGAATATACTAATAAATACAATCATCTTTACAATGAAACAAATAGCTATACATGAAAATGAATAAAAAAACAAACGATCTAATTCAATGTGTAATTTCTACATTAAAAAATTTTCGACTATCATAAAAGATTATCATACAAAAAGTGATAGATCAATAATACATATTATAAAGTAACTAAAATATCTAAGTTAATTTATTCATTATGATGATCTGGTCTTCTTGGTAATACTTGATATTGATCCAGGTGGTAATGATTGCTTTTTTCTAAAAGAATTTGAAGCAGTTGTGATTGAGTTATTGATCATTGTTGAAAAACTGCTATCTTTATCGTCCAAATTTTCTTCATCAGAAACATTTTGAATATTGTTCGTATTGGAATTATCATCATCATCATCCTGTAGGACAAAATTCGATAAGTTATTGTTGATGCTGGAAAGCTTATCGAATGCTTGTTTTTTCTTCTTGATCATTGTACAACGACTGTTCTTTAAATGCTTTAAATAAGCAGAAAGTTGAAATGTATTTGATTTCGAACGAAAAACAATTTTAATAGTGGTATTACATCCACATTTAATGCACCCATTAATATCTGCATCTAGTATATTCACATGAATTTCATAATCAATTACATTTCTTAGAATAAATTTTTCGAATGTATTGATACAGAATTTTTCAATACTATCAGAAATCCTTTGTATGTAATAACTTGGTGAATTGATTTTAGGTGTTGTTGAAAATACTGGTATTAATTGTGAATCAATAGAAGCTAAATTAGACATATTTGATGCCAATGCATTGAACAGATCACCATGTAATTGTATTGATGATTGTGATGATGATTTAGAAGTTTTTCTTCGTTTTGTTTGTTTTTTTCTTTTATCTTTAAGTACTGATATTAAATTATCAATATTGGTTTGAATTCCAGCTTTGACCATAAATCGTTTATTATCTTCATCAATAAAACAAATACGCTGTTTTAATTCAATTATTTCTTTAGAATTAAAGCTTAAAAAAGCCATGATATCAGGTATATTTATTAATGTTCTAACATTATTAATAGATTGCATTTTAATTACCATCATTTCATCGAAACCAAGATTTTCTTCGATAAACGT